CGAAGCCACCCCAGATTTTTGTTTAAATTTCATTATGTTCATTTGTTTAAGCTTTCAGCTCTCAATTTTGTTTTGTAATTTGCTGTTGTTGCAAGAATGTTCTGTTTTATTAAGTTATTGGCTTAATGCATGACTTACATATAAAGAGATAAGCGACATACGACATGTTTTTTTCAGAAGTCAACAAGCATAAAAGGATTCCAATTCAACGAGTGGTTAACAGACATAAAGGGATTCAGACATACGACATGTGTGTTAACCACTCGTTGAATCGGAATCCCTTTATGCTTGTTGACTTCTGAAAAAAATATGCCGTACGTCACTTATCTCTTTATATGTTAGTCATGTATTAAGTCAGTAACTTAATAAAACAGAACATTCTTGCAACAACTAGCAAATTACAAAACAAAATTGAGAGCTGAAATCTTAAACAAATGAACATAATGAAATTTAAACAAAACCTGGAGTGGCTTCGCCTGCACACGCACACACACGTCATGATGATATTAGAGTTTTCTCATATATTTTGGTTCTCAAACGCATGTAAAAAAAAAAAAAATTGTTCCAACATGTAAACCAAACAGAACACAGTGAAAATTCGAAGTTTAGTTCACCTCATTTACAATGACTACACTTACTCAGTGCTTTCCTTTCTCCTTCTTTCCTCCTTTTTTTCCCCTTTTTCTTCTTTTTGAGTCATTTTTTCTTTCCACTTCCAGCTTCGTTCTTCTTTACATTTCCGTTTGATTTGATAAAAACAAAAAATAAATTAAGTTATGTTACATGTTAGTAAAACTAGTGAAAGCAGCCAAGCATTTTTGTGCCTCAACTCTTCAATTAGAAAAAATAAATTTAAGGTAGAAAATGTGAACTACCTTCAGCAATTGGTTGAGCAATTGGTTGAGCAGGTTCAACAACATTTGGTTGAGCAGCTTCAACAACATTTGGTTCACCAACATCTAAATGTTTTTTTCAATTAATTAAGACAACCCAAAGCATATGGTTACATTCCAACTCATTCTTTTTCTCTCTTTTTCTTTAGGGACATTCAAATTAACTAACACTCACTGAAAGACCATAATTGCTCACATAACACTCTGTCTTAATTCCAACTCATTTTGACTTAACACTTCATAAGTTACACTAGGTACATACAACCAACAAGAAGATATGCACCAAAAGGTCACAGACAAACACAAATATATGCAACATAAATCAGTAGCTGAAATCAACGTATGAGCCTCGAGGACGAGGCTCTTTCGAGAAGGGAGTATTGTCATGTACCCGATATACCCGATATAGGGATTAGATTAGTATTTTACTTAGTTATTTATATTAGTTTATGTTATGATAGGTAATGGGCTTTATATTAGTAAGTTAGTATTGTTGGGCTTTTTGTAAGGAAATTCTATAAGAAGGTGTAATGTCATGTGGAAAAAAATGGAACAAGAAGAAAAATATCACAAATCTATTTTCTCCCTGAGTTTCTCTCTCCTCTAACTCTCTCTCTCTCCCTCACGTGTTTCTTCCTTCTCTCCCTCCCCAATTTCTTCATTTCTGCAACTTCAAAATTCTTCTAGAATAAATACAGAAAAATATACACAAAATCCAGAAAATATCCAAGTTCACAACACAATCGCTTGCTACAGCACCTGATAAAACTATATTGGCTATTCAACTTATACAATTTATTAAGCACTTTTCTTGATAACTTGGTTACCATGATGAACTCAGAAATTTACAAAATCTGAAACTATAAACAAAACATATCCCAAAAAACAATTACGTTATTTCTAAATTACAAAACATATCCTCATCATGGAACTTTTGGGTCAAAAAATAGCTTTTCAAATGCCTATATATTGTGCATATGCATATCAAACAACCTACTTCTCTATTCTTGGATTTTTATGAGATGAACATATAAATTCTATCAACCTCAAAAAGCATGCAAACACGCATAAGCAAATTGGCCTGTTATTTCGAACAAAACAAAGATCTGATATACTCACCCGACGAAAGATGTCAGAGTTTAACAAGAGCTTCTCCTCTAGCTTTTGATGATAAAACATCCTTACCAGTGGATTTTGTAAATTCAGCCAATCCACTTCCTCCCTGAAAAAATTGTTAAGAAATGTATAATTATTTTTGTTTGAGGTCAAAGTTCGTGACTCACTCTCACAGAGCATTGTTAAATGCATATTCACATATATAAACTGAAAACACTTCCCATAAAGGAAAATGTACCTGAAACATGAATCATTTTACTCTCCAGAGCTTTAGCAGTATCAATCATCTCTTTTGCACGACACGCTTGGATTATTGTAGCAAATGTGATATCATCCGGTTTGCACCCACACCCCTCCATTGCCTCTAATAACTCCATCATCCTCTCTACATCACCAAATTTCCCGAATGCATTAATAGCACAGTTGAAAAAAGGCGTATCGAGCACGACATCCGAATTCTCCACTTGCCTCAAAATCGAGTCAACTTTCCCAAACAGCCCGGCTTTACCATATGCACTCACAAGAGAACTGTATGTGATCGAATTGGGCTTCAAACCCCGATGTTTCATATTCAGGAAAATCTCGTCCATCTTTTCAATATCTCCGCTTTTTCCGAATACCTCGATTATTATATTGTAAGTAACAATTGTAGGTGAAAAAAACCTCTTCTCCATAAAATCCACAACACGTCCCATTTTTTCATACAAGCCCGAATTCCCGTACGACTTAATCAGAATGTTGTACGTCATTATATCAGGCTTTAATCCCATCTTATTAAACTCTCCAAACCACTTCTCCATTTCATCAATCCTCCCAAACCTACCGTAAGCCCCAACCACCGAGTTATAGGTAAAAATATCCGGGGCGCAATTTTCCTTCTGAATCATGTCATGCAAAAATTTCTCCATATCCTCAAAACGGTTAGCTTTACCGTATCCATCTATTAGGGTGTTGTACATCACTGTACAACATTCGAGTCCTGAATTCGACATTTCTTCAAGAACTCGCCCGATGATGTCAAACCTTTTCAGCTTGGCACAGCATTTGATGAGGATGGAGTAAGTGAAAGCATCCGGTGTGCAATCACGTACGGCCTTCATATCATTGACAACACTGAAGGCTTCATCAAAAAGCCCGTTTACAGCATAAGCACCCACAAGTGAGGTGTAAACATCGACTGCAGGCTTTAGGCCGTCCGAGAGCATTGTTTCGAAAAGCAGGCTAGCTTGATTTGTCTGCTTGCACTTGCCCAGCATTACCAAGAGCTTCGCATATGTCTGGCGTCTCGGCTCGTACCAGTGCTGCCTTCGTAGAAGCTCGAATATCTATATTTTTCACCAAAAATGGAAAAATTAAAATAGCAGCTTAGCTTTATTTCACATATTTCACATAAACACCCAGAAATAGTCCCCGCATATTTCACACACGCACACAGAGGGAGAGGGAGAAACCTTAAGAGCGGACTCCCAACGGTTATGCTTAATTGCGTCACTTAGAGCTTCAAGAACAGCTTTAGGCCATAGATTATTGTACTTGGAAGAATTAACCTTCCCCTCAATGGCTTTAATGGCAGACTCTGTTCTCAAGATTCTTGAGAGGTCTTTCTTCGAAATTTTACGAATTTGAAGGTCCTGTTGTTGACGCTTGCCGTCGTCGGGCTGCGAGATTTTCTTGGAGTAAGATTTAGTGGTGGAGCAGGCGATTGCGCGGTGGTTTGCCGGGTTGAGGAGGCGGAGCTCCATCGCTGGCTATCGATTGAGAGTGGATTTTGATGATAAAGTAAATATGGATGCTTATTTGACTCTTATTTAGGAATTTTGATAAGGTAAATAACAATGGGAAATGCTACTGTGCCGAGAAGTTGATCTAACGGTTACAAATTCCGACGGAAGGATTCCGTAACGGAATTGTAACATCTCCCTAATAATATAGATGCATATTTGACTTAGACATCTCCACCCATTTACTCTACTCAAGTACAGAAGTAAAATAAGTCAAATATCTAATTTCATTTCCAATCGTTTAAAGTACATTTTACTCTACATCAATATATTATTTTTTATTTATTATTCTAATATAAGTAGATTTAATTTTATATATTTTTTTTTTGTTAATCTTACCTAAATTATAAAATCATGCTTGGAATATTCATATGTCTAGAATATAAAAATAGTATATATTGAGCTTATATTGAGAATTTGAATATTATAAATTAATACATATATATCTTAGATTAATATTTAATAAAATAAAAAATTCTAATAATATTATATTATTGTCATAATTTACCAATAATCTATATAAAAAAATCTGATATGTTATATTATTGTCATATTTTTATTAGTTTATATTTTTACCAAAATAATATATTAAAATACATCATAAAAAAATAAACATCAAAGTCAAACAAAAAAATAGTTAATACATAAGGATTACATTAAATCTTACAAAAAAGTACATAAATATATGAAAAATAAATTAAAAAAATTATGTTGTGTCGAAATAGTGTTGGGATAGAGCTTGTGTAGCATTGTATATCCCTCTATATTGGCGGTGATACTGTATGTCCCTCTATTTTGGGTGATACTATGATAGCACTGTATATCTCTCTATTCCGGCGGTGATAGTTGAACGCAAAAAAAGTTTTTTTTAGGATTTCTTTTTCACTTTGACATAAAATATGTAATGTATGCAGTAAAAAAATGAATTGAATTTATTATTTATGTTACATAATTTTGTGTTGGTTATAAGATTAAATTTAAATCATATTTTTCAACTTAATCAACTAACTGATACATTATATATATATATATAATTAAATCATGAAAATGGGTGGTGGAAATTGTGGGATGCTTAATTGCACATATGCGAACAATTTTATGAAACAAATGTACATGTGAACATTAGTGGTAATATTTTTCTTCCTTCATGCGTACTATACTGGTAAAAAGTAAAAACCATGCTTTGTAAATATCATCCTTGATGCATAGATACTGGTAAAATTCATTCTTGTTTTCCAGCAAAGATCAGGTGAGAGCACACTTGTGGTTTTGAGAATATGATATTAGCATTCCATAATTCAAGTTTCACACAACACAGAAATAAAATTAAAGAAACTGCTAAAAATCAAGCACAGTTTCAGTGAAAATAATGGAAAAGCAGTTTCCCTACGCGAAATCGGAACTAGTCCATCATTCTCGATTTCATAACACATCAAATGGCTTCCAGGATCATATGATCACCAGCCCCCTATTTAACAAATTCCAATATTTCAAAGCGTATATCGTCCGCACAAATGCCAATGGAAACAATTTGTTAAGTCTTTTTCAAATGAGTGCCAGAAGCCACTGAACAAATGACGGGCTCCACAATTAGGGAGGAACGTTTCTTAATACAGTTGAAATTTGGCCTTTGTTTTCTCGAAAACTTGCTCTGCAATAACGGCTTCGTTACCATCAGCTCTCTTAATTTCCAAATTAGCCTTCTGATAAAACCCGGTTCCTCTAAGTGCATCAGCAATGAAGTCATCAAAACCGATGGCAATAGCAGCTTCTGCTTTGGCTCCATAAACTAATCTCTGAAAGAAATTGGGGGTTAAAGCTTAAGTTTAAGATCAATCAAAAACCTGCAAAAATAAATAGTGTTCGATATAGAAAATGAACTTGAGCACTAGACCTTAATTCTAGAAAGATGGATGGCACCAAAGCACATAGGGCATGGCTCGCAAGAAGCATAAATCTCACAGTCCGAGAGCTCAAGTCTGTTGAGCTTCTTGCAAGCCTGAAACAAATGCACCAGCGTGAGAAGCGTGAGCAATTATGAAAAGTGTAACCTGAATTTAATGGACTATAAAATGTTCAAATACATTCCATCTTCCAACAAGATGGGAACTGCATACCATATGGTCGAAGGATTTCAGAATTTATTAAAGAATATCATTGCTTACAAATATGATAACTAGGGAAAGTATAATAGGAAAATATAATAAATTAAAACGATAAATTTATAAATTGTATTTATTCTGAAGCTGAACTCCTATATATATATATATTCTCTAAGATTTTATTCTGACGATCTCCTATGACTAACCAAGTTAAGTCTGGCAATCCAAAATGTCACGCAGTCCAAAGTTAAAAGTTAAAACATACATCTGGCTTTCAACAGGATTATGGATCTCAAAGATCGAAGAAGTTGTATCAACGTGAAATGTGAATAATTTTCATTGAAAAATATAGATAATATGTAGGCTATTACATAAATTATAACATAATTTTCCATAGCCATTAAAAGAGAGAACTTTTAAGTGGAATAATTAAAATTCCTTCTCTCCACTTAAAACTTGTTTTATACTAGCTAAAGAGGCGGCAAAATTCATGACTATTACTACCAAAATTATTTTCCCAAAGACGCTTGTCTTTAAGGAAATTGATGGTGGCGACATAATTGCCTAAGCAAGTAGCTTAGGTGGCTTCTTCTTAAAATCTGAATAATGTGTGTCCTTGTCACATTTCAATGCAATTGTAAGATCTTTTCATTCCATTTAAATACTCCCTCCTCTGGTGATCTTCATTATCTTCTTGCAAAGCTACTTAAGGCAAGAATTGAATCAATTGATACAATATGAAACATATAACCTAAGGCAAATAATGGTTGATTGGATATTAATTTTTATAATTTCCATCTCACTAGAGAAATTCTTCTTAAAAGGTACATTATTCACTCATCTCATCTTCCCTCCTCAATTTCATCACTTAAATTTTAGAATAACAAACAATTATTACTACACGTTTTCCTTTAATCATTACATAAACCATTTTACATCGATCAAGATTTTTCCAAAATCTTCCAAAAATATTTTAATATACTACCCCTAGCCCCAAAATAAATAAAAAATGCCAATGAAAGCATATTTAATTGCTGCACCAATTGAATATGGGATATAGGCCAGTTTACTAGCTTTGATTGGGATAAGATGGAATAGGACAATCTATCCCATGACTCAGGTTTGGTCCATTGTTTCATTGTTTACTAAATAGGATACAATTTCATTGAAAATTGTCCCATGTTTACCAAAGTGGATAAAAGTTTATGATAAATACATTAAATTACCGACTTATTAATTAAAATAATATTTTATAATTTAAATAAAAATCTTATTTTAAATTGAATAAAATTATTTTATATTGAATAAAATTATTTTATATTAAACAATATTTTTCAAATTAAACAAACTAAATTAAATTACTAATTTATAGATTAAACAATATTATTTTAAATTCAATAAAATTATTTTAGATTAAACAATATTATTTAAGTTAATATCTGATAAATTAAATAATATTATTTCAAAATTAAATAAAATTATTTAAATTAATATTTATAGATTAAATAATATTGTTGTCAATTAATAAAATTATTTTAATTACTATTTTATAAATTAAATAATATTATTTTAAACTAAATAAAATTATTTTATATTAAATAAAATTATTTAAATTAATATTTTATATATTAAATAATATTATCTTAAATTAAATAAATTATTTTATATTAAATAATACTAATTTAAATTAATATTTTATAAATTAAATAATATTATTTTAAATTAAATTCAAATTAAATATTAATTTTATTTCTATTTTTTTAAAAATAAAGGTCATTTGAGACGAAGGATAAATTTATCACTGTCGGATTTTCTTTATCACCCGCCAACAAGGATACACGCGTGCGCCAACTCATGCCACGTCATCTGTATCCTTATCTCAATCCTATTTAGTAAACGAGGAATAAGGTTGGTTAACCAACCTTATCCCATCTTATCAACAAGGCTAGTAAACGAGGCCATACCAACCTTATCCCATCCTATCAGTAAGTAAGGCCATATAGTATAATCCCATGAAATGCTGAGGTACACTTGCTGCCTTTGTTAACCTATTTATATAGTTGACATTCTTGAATTACCCAAAAAAAAAAAAAAGCCATCGAAAACATATTCAATTGCTGCACCAGAACTTTTTATGAAGAGACAAAATGGAAAATATAATTACAACCCTATAGATATATAGCATAATCCCAAGAAATGCTAAGGTACCCTTGCTGCCTTTGTTAACCTATTTATATAGTTGACATTCTTGAATTACAAAATTTTGTTTTCTGCAGTACACATTAAGACCCTTCAGCCCAAAGATAATATAGATAACCAATTTCTCAGAATAATTAAATATTTTTTTTTTATCAATATTATTGGCAAATAGGTCACTGGCAGCAGACATTTTCACTTCAAACATATCCAATGTTTTAACATAGTTATTCTAACCTCTCGTACTGCTGTAACCTCAGCATGAGCAGTAGGGTCTGTCTGCTTGATAACCATATTGTGACAGCTGACAACAATTTCACCATTCAGCACCACAACGGCACCAAAAGGGCCTCCATCTCCACATTCTACACCTTTGTAAGCTTCTTCAACTGCTCTTCTTAAGAATTTGTGATCTCTGTCCTGAACAGCTGTGGCCAATAAGGGAACATAGTTTATAATGCTCGATTTACTAGTAAATTGCATACAAAAACTATCTAAGGAAAAGGCCAAACAAAAGAATGATGAGCATAAGCAGTATTAATAGCATGAAAAGGCGTATAATTATATATCTTCAAGCAAGTTAGTTTTTAACCAGCCTCCACATGACAATTATTATACAATCTATTACTATATAATAGAGAGGAATTTACTTGAAATAGTATT